CAGAGCCACAGTCATAGTTTCAATCAGCCAAATATAATAAACTAGTAGCTGTCTATCATTGTTCTACCGGTAGACATTCAAGGGAGCGGCCACAAACATGCTACGATTTTTATCACATAAAGACAGAAACCAAAGTTTTGCTTCTGGGAAATTGCTAGACAAGATGAGATATTTTTTAAGTTTGGGAAAACCTCTTTAAAATCTTTAAAAGGACTATGCCTGCTGAGGGCGTAACAGAATACGTATGGTATGTTGTTGTTATTTAGCCATTGACTATGTTATTGTTGGATCAAAAACGATTGATCACAATTATTTACAAAATTTAAGAAATTATTGAAACCAATGTAAGCGTTGTTGTGCAGTCTACACTAGTGAATGCCTTACTTTAGTGCTACATTTAATTTCAACTTTGGTAAATAGATTATTAAAGGTTATTATATTGTTCTAGCCTTAGGGTTTGGGTACGAGTATTGGCTGGTTCCCGGACTCCTGGTTAATTCTGAAATGTTGCTCAAAATTTTTACAACTGCAATCTCGAGAATTATTGTTTTCATTGCCAAAATATAGTTCAGTGGCAGNTATTTTGGGTAAAAAAAAGAAGAAATCACAGAAGGAAGAAAACCTAGAAAAAAAAAAAGAAAACCTAGCAGGGCAAGCAAAACAACAGTTTTCATTCTATTGCTGATATGGACTTGAGGTAGCAGGCAATTACGTACACGCGTGTTGGAGAGGCGCGTGCGAGAGTGGCGCGTGCGAGGATTAGTTACTAAGAACGCTTATTGTTTCTCTTTCCTCGTGTTACCAAGCAAAAACCCATTCTATGAAGACTTCTAAGTCCTAAAATTTGATTTAACTCGGACGGTGTCAGCAAATCGATTCAACTCCTTTACCCGACGCAGGGATTTAGAAATTTTGGAGGGTTGACAAATCTTGGGGTGGCGTGACATTTTGTAAAATGAAACCTTCGATTCCGCTCGAGTGCTTCTGATCTCGTGATAATTGCAGACTTCGATCTGTTCAGACAACACCCTGTCTGCTGAAGGAGCGGTTTTCTATTTTATCTGTGGATAAAATGGACATGAACTGATTCTAGAAGGTTAGTGTATAGTAGGAATGCTTTAAACAAAACTTCGGTCAGGAAAAGAACATTTCCTACTGAGAAAACTAGTAATTCAGTTCGAGTTACTGGACGGATTCACCGTTAGGCCAGACACGGCGATTAGGATTCTAATTTAGGTTACTAAGTAGATTTTCGTTCTATGTAGGAATTTCCTGTTCATGGCCACAGTTATACGTAGAAGAGACTGATTCTGGCCACAAGAGAAGCTTTAACTTTTCAGGTAAGCAGGATGAGTGAAATAAAATAATGAAACGTGAGCACATTTGAGGGACGAGCAAAATTCGGTAGCGCACCAAGCAACAGACACGGGAAAAACCGTAGTCATTTCCACAGTTATTTAATTATTGAGAAGATTTTAATTTAGTATCCAATAATTTTTGAGTTAACTATCATTCATAACGAGCAGTTCAGTCCCAAGTTTATATACAACGAGACACGTTCGCATTCGAAGAACTTCATTAAAAAGGAAGTCGTGGAATGTGAAATCTAGCCTGTTTCTACGTTTCGCAAAGATTGATCATGAATGACTCAGTTGTCCTAAACAAACTCAATCATCAGCGTTTGTCAGGGAACAATTTCGTCGCCAGGGGTAAAACCAGTAGTTCAATTACCAGCGAACTTAAGCGAAATCAGATCAACCTAAACTCGTGATTTTATTTGCATTTTTTCCGGTGAACGCACAAGTTTACTTTACAACAAAAGCTGAGGGCCACATAAACTCCCAGATACTTGATTCTTAGATTAATTACAGATTGAAGACATATATATATGATCTGCTGTTGTGATTTATAATCGGGTTCTTTATCTTAGTTATATGGTACATTACTTCCTTAAACCGGAGAGTTTTTACTATTCATCAGTAATCAGTATTTACTAGCAAGCATTAAGTTAAGCATGTTACTTGATAGTAATCAGTATTGATGTCTTTTTGCCTGACTCAAGTTGTAAAGGTTTCTCTTGACGCAACTGCGATAAACCCAGCGCGAAAAAGCAAATCTCTCTTATGGGTTAACTAATACGTTTAAACGTTCGATCCCGTTGCTGCTTTGTTAGCATCAATACTTTCAATTTTGAGTAAGAGAAAATGTAATCAGTAAATGTTACGTGAGATTCGAGCCAACCTGTTTCTTTCTAAAGTTGTACAAACTCCTTGGTGACTGACTGATACTGGCTCGTTTTCAAGTGAGTTAAAAAGAAACGGCACGACCATAGACCTTCTCTGCAAGGTAAGAAAATTATGAAAAAAATCTGATATGTGCATTCCGGTCTGTGTTTTTAGCAGTGTTTGTCTGTATATGCATGGATCAATAAAAACACAAAGGTGGAAAGCTTTTGCTTGCTTGCTTTTCTCAATTTGTTGTAGACGTCAATCTGTTAATTTACTACAGTTTATGTTTGCTAACTGGCCAATGAAACAATTCTGCTTATTTTTTTTATTCTGTACAGTGTGACTTTTTTTATATTCAAAAGAGTTACCATGCCTGTTTGCAAAACAACTGTAATCTGTTGAATCTTTTGAATTTTTAGAGTTGATTTGTATTTGGACAATTTGCGTTTCAGTTTTAAGTCTTGTAATCTCGCTGTTTTATTTACTAGTAAGATGAAATTCATAATGGTTTCTAGCACATCAATGTTGACTCGTAAACACTGAACGACTGCTTTCGCCTTAGTGAAAGTTAAGAAGCTTGATTAAAATGTTAACAGATACAATTTGCATGTAAGGAATTAAATATTCTCCTGACACTTTAGAGCGATAAAGCCAATGCGAAAAAGCATGAATTTCTTATTTTTGATCTCTTATTACTGCTTTGTTCGCAGCAACATTTTCAATTTTGACCAAGAGCAAATGTTTTATATGTTACTTGAGTTTAGAGCCAACTTGTTTATTTCTACAATTGTAAACTCCTTGGTGACTGACTGACACTGTGTCATTTTCAACAGAATAAAAACAGCTGCACGACTACAGAACTTCTCTGCAAGGTAAGAACTCTGCCAACATTTCTACAACTAAAAACAATTCAATTCAAGGGAAGTATTCAATTTGTTGCTAGTGTGGACTAAAGGTAGTAGGCATTACGTGTACATGTGTTGGAGAGGCACGAGCGATGCTTTGTTGCCGAGGACATATTTTTTCTCTTTCCTCGTGTTTCCACGTAACCATTCTATGAAGATTTCTAAGTTCTAAAATTTGATTTATCTAGGAATGTGTCAGCAAATTGATCCAATTCCTAACCCGCCGCACGGATTTCGAAATTTTTGAGGGTTGACCAATCATGGTCGATAGTTTGGGGTGGCGTAACGTATTGTAAAATTACACCTTCGACTCCGCTTGAGTGCTTCTGATCTCGTGATCATTGCAGACTTTGATCTGCTCAGACAACACCTTGTCTGCTGAAGGAACGGTTTTCTATTTTATCGGTGGATAAAATGGACATGAACTGATTCTAGAAGGGACTTCAGGTCAGGAAAAGAACATTTGCTTCTGAGAATAATTCATTTCGAGTGACTAGACGGATTCACCGTTAGAGCAGACACAACGACAGTGGGATTCTAATTTAAGTTACTAAGTAGATTCTCATTCTATGTAGGAATCTCGTGTTCATGGCCACAGTTATACGTAGAGGAGACTGATTCTGGCCAGAAGAGAAGGTTTAACGTTTCAGGTAAGCAGGATGAGTGAAATAAAATAATGAAACGTGAGCACATTTGATGGACGAGCAAAATTCGGTAGCGCTAACATTAGCAACAAAGACGGTAAACACCTTACACATTTTCACACACATTTGTTAATTGTTGAGATGATTTTAATTCAATATCCAAAAATTTGTGAGCTGCCTTTCATTCATAATGAGCAGTTTAGTTCCAAGATTATATACAACGAAACACGTACGTACTCAAAGAACTTAAAGGGGAAGTCGTGGAATGTGAAATCTAACCCGTTTCTACGTTTCTTCAACATTGATCTTGATTGATTCGGTTATCCTAATCAAACTCATCAGCATTTGTCAGGAAACAGTTTCATCTCCAGGGGTAGAACCTTAGTAGATCAATTGCCAGCGAACTTTAGCAAAATCAAATCAACCTAAATCGTGATTTCAGTTGCATTTTCAAAATAATGCAAAAGTTTACTTCACAACAAAAGACGAGGGCCACATAATTTTGCAGATACTCTGATAGAAATCCACACAACTTAGGACTTCACAAATCTTTATTTCCTTCAGAGAACTGTATACTTTCTGTACTTTCACAATCTTGACAATCTTTTCGACACACGAGTTTGTGTTCTCTCTCACAGTTTACAATAAAAAATCTAGCACCTTCTCACCCTCTCTCACATGACTTATCTGTCAATCAACTTGAAGCATGTGACCGGATACGTGACGTGTAATGCAACTACGGGTTTCAGACACTCTCCCCCCTCTTGACTCGTATGAGTCAAGAATACAACCACAAGGTCAGTCGTTCTCTTGATTTGCCAGGCTGCTTATCCTTCTAGC